GGGGGGGGGGGTGGCCGAGGGAGCCAAGAAGTATTTAGAGACAAAAGCAGATTATGGGGGGTCCAAATTAGGGATTATATCAAGCTTGTTTTGATGAAATCCTATCTGAGGACAGCTTGTCCATGAACAAGTTGAGGTACCTTGCATCCGTGAATGTTTCATGTTACAGTGGCGCCGGGTATCCTGAAAAAGTTAGCAAGCGTGAAGCTTTGGCTGGTTGTAACGGTACATGGTCTTCTTATGCCGACGAATGAATAACGCAACCGCATGTCACCATGTCTTCCCACGAAACAAGCTGGCATTTAGGGTTCTCACCAGTACCCAAAATAACAGTCTATATGTGTCCGCGCTCCGCGTTTCCAGTCCACCCTCCTCTCGCTCCGCCCAACGTTACGGTCCCGATCTGGGGATGCAGCCACATCTACAACCCCAGGAACCGCCAACTCTCTAGAAAACCTCTCGAAGCCATCTTTCAGACAATCTATAAGTCCTCACCGCAGGACCCAAGGACAGGTTCTTCTAAGAGCCCCCAATACAACTATAGAAAACACTAGTAAATAAAACCTCTACACCCCTCCAGAGAAATTCTTCAACCTCTTGGACACCTTTAACAGGAGTTATGAACCCTGTGTAATCCTTCTCTTGAACTCTATAATGGCCTTGATAAACCGGCTATAAATCCTCCATCACAATGCCCTGTATGAAACAGCAGAAGACCTAGAAAGATCTAGAAAGCAAAACCTCTCCAACCTTTAGTGAACAACCTTCGATAAGATCCATGAGTGCTCTGTAAAACCTTCTTCACACCTTACAAACCCCTTCTCTAAACACACAAACCCTCCGGTAGACTAATCATACTCTATATCATGGACCATTGAGGGGGGGACCCGTGAATGCTGGCACATCTTTACCTTTACCCATCATGTTGGGGTTAAGGGCCACTGTTATGGGTACTTGGGACCCCGGCCTAACATGTCAGGCAACAGTTGGGAGGTGATGGGTGTGGGGAAGTCTGCACTGAATCGCTACTTGTTAGGACTACGCAACATGAATAGTGATAGGCACGACAGGTGTTCCGGGATGGCATCGGGAAGTAGGACTTATAACTACATCTAATTTGCACAGAACATGTAAAATGTGTTCACGGCACTGTCCCAAGTCTCAGTTGGATCCCATACAGGAAAGTGATTGCACCATGCTCGCCAACATTCAGCTGCACTGCGGGCTGGCGCACTCTGCGAATCAAGCTGCAGGGCCGGTTGAAAAATGATTTCAGGCACATTTGCTTCAGCAACCGACAAGCTTGTATGGGAGTTCAGAGAACAAACAAACATAGTAAGTGTCAACAACAATCCAGCATATGCCACCTACATAGCACCTGATTCCCCAAGCTTGACCCCCAGACCTTGCATCCCGCAGTTTCAAAGAATTCCCAAACCCAGAGTGCCCACCCCCTACTTCCACAGCAGCCATGATACAGGAACCGGAATCAGCGGACAAATGGTTTAGGGTTTCGGGTTGAAGGCTTAGGGCTAATTCCTCACTAGGTGCCTTCACCTCCTCCGTAGCTGCATGTCCGCTTCGTCCTCCAGACCTCCCGTGCAGTTAGGGAATTGGATAAGATGTCTAGGCAGGATCTGTAAAGAGCTGCTAGAGTGGTTTCCATTTCACTTGCCATTATCCCTGGATAACCCCAACATGCCATAGTAGTTTCCATTTCAATTTGCATTCTCCCTAGATAGCCCCAATATACTATAGTAGTTTCCATTTTATTTTCCATTATCCCTATATAACCCAATACACTATAGTAGTCTCCATCCTATTTTACAGCATCCCTATATAACCCCAATATACTATAGTAGTCTCCATTGTATTTTACAATGTCCCTCGTTTGCAAAGGCCATGGCCTCGCATGCACTCCGTCACTGACGGGAGCAATGTCTCTTTAGAGGAAACCATGTTGGGCGCTTGAAGCACCTTACGTTCTTTTCACACCCGCCCTTCCGTGGCCTTTAGCTATACACACGTTGAGCAGACCTCTCGGGAAAAAAAAAAAAAAAAAAA